GAGTCCCACATCGGGCTCCCTACATGGGAGCCTGCTTCTTTCTCTGCCTGTGTCTTTGCCTCTCTCTCTCATGAATAAATAAATGAAATCTTAAAAAAAAAAAAACTGCATTGGCCATTTAATATTAATCTTGAGCTATACCTGGATAGCCAAAGTGACTTAGTCGCTCAGTAATTTTCTCTTCAGTTTGGAAAAATAATCCTCTATAACCTATTAATTAAGGCAGCCCAATGTGGGGCTCAAATTCACCACCCTAACATCAAGAGTCATATACTCTACTAACCCAGTCAGGCACTCCAAGGCATCTAACTTTTTATGTGGGGAAATAAAAAAGATTTCTTTTTTCAAAGACGATGAGCAATGGGAATCTTCTCTCTCTCTTTTTAAAAAGATTTTGAGAGACAGAGCACAAGTTGGGGGGGTGGAGGGAGTGGGACAAGCAGACTTCCTGCTGAGCATGGAGCCCAACTCAGGGCTTGATCCCAGAACCTCGAGATCATTAACAGGAGCCGAAGTCAGATATTTAACCAAGTGAGCCACCCAGGTGCCCCAGAAAAAATATTTTTCTACACAATTGGTAAAACATCTTGGCAGAGTAAAAGGAGAGGGATAATAAGAACCAATGTTGCTAGATTCTGATGGAGAAGAAATATAAAGCTGTGGCCTATGACAAGTCTAAGTCAGGCTGAACCCCCATCCCTACTGACTCTCATTCTTTTGAAATGAATGAGTATCCCTGGAAATGATTCTTAGTACAGGTGTATGGTCATTCTTATTAATTTCCTATTGCTGCTGTAACAAATGATCACAAACTTAGCTTAAAATACAAATTTATTACTTAAAACTTTAGAGGTGCTCCAAAAGCTACAAAAACAGGGAAACACACAGCTTGCTCACTCCTGCTGTAAATATATTAGTAGTGTCTTAATGTTCTCAGTGGGGCACCTGGGTGGCTCAGTTGGTTGGGCTTCCTGACTCTTCATTTCAGCTCAAGATCTTAGGGTGGTGAGATTTAAGCCCCATGTCTGGCTCCACACTCAACAGGGAGTCGGCTTCTCTCTCTCTCTTCGCCTCTGCCCCTCCTCCCACTCGTGCACATGCTCTCTCTAAATAAATTTATTTTATTTATTCATGAGAGACACAGAAAGAGAGGCAGAGACACAAGCAGAGGGAGAAGCAGGCTCCCTGTGGGGAGCCCAATGTGGGACTCAATCCCCAGACCCAGGATCACGCCCTGAGCTGAAGGCAGATGCTCAACCACTGAGCCATCCAGGTGTCCCTCTAAATAAATCTTAAAAAAAAAAAGTTCTGTTACACAATATTGGGGGGGGGGGGTGTCTCTGAGTATAAATTTATTTATTTAAGATTTTACTTCTCTGTTTGAGAAAGACCTAAAGGGGGAGAGGGAGAGAATCTCCAGCAAACTGAGCTAAGCACAGAGCCAGATATGGGGTTTGATCTCATGGCCCTGAGATCATGACCTGAGCTGAAACCAAGGGTTGGATGCTCAAGGAACTGAGCTACCCAAGCACTCCTGGGTGTAAATTTAAATAAAGGCCTGACAATACATAATATATACCTAGCCAACAAGATTTTTATCTACTTCAGTTTCTTTTTTTTTTTTTTAAGATTATTTATTCATGAGAGACACAGAGAGAGAGAGAGAGGCAGAGACACAGGCAGAGGGAGAAGCAGGCTCCATGCAGAGAACCCGAAGCGGTACTCGATCCTGGGTCTCCAGGACCACACCCCGGGCGGAAGGTGACGCGCTGAGCACCCCCCCCGCCCCCCGCTGCCCACTACTTCAGTTTCACTTCAAGATAACAAATAATGTCAAGGCAAAATAATTTTATAAAAATTATTTTAAGTTTTATTATGATTCTCTGGTAAGAGATACTGATCTCACTTATTTTGGTTGCTCAAATTATATACTCTATCATTCAATACCATCAACTAAAATGCTGGTTCTAAGTAGAACTGCCTCCATAGCTTTAAATAGCCATTGAAGAAAAAAAAAGGGTTAATCATCTATTTTCAAGGACCCCTAATCCAACCCCAAGGTACACCCTTATCAGAGGTGCCATATCTTCAGTTGTCTCCTTTCTCAACTTATCAAAATTAATTCTCAGGAAGATATCAAAACTCATATTTAAGACTGTCAAAACTGAGGCACCTGGATGGCTCAGCAGGTTAAGCATCTGCCTTTGGCTAACGTCAGGTTCCCGGGATTGAGCCCCAAATCAAGCTCCCTGATCAGTGGGGAGTCTACTTCTCCCTCTCCAACTGTCCCTCCCCCCACTCACGATTGCTTGCTCTAATAAAAAAAAAAAAAAAAAAACTGGGGTTCCCTGGGTGGCTCAGCGGTTTAGCACCACCTTCAGCCCAGGGCGTGATCCTGGAGTGCCAGGATTGAATCCTGCACCGGGCTCTGCATGGAGACTCCTTCTCCCTCTGCTTGTGTCTCTGCGCCCCCCCCCCCCGCCTTGGTCTATCATTAATAAATAAAATCTTTAAAAAAAAAAAAAAACTTAAAGGGCAGCCCCGGTGGCTGGCGCAGCGGTTTAGCACCTCCTGCAGCCCAGGGCGTGATCCTGGAGGCCCTGGATCAAGTCCCACGTCGGGCTCCCTGCATGGAGCCTGCTTCTCCCTCTGCCTGTGTCTCTGCCTCTCTCTCTCTCTGTGTCTCTATGAATAAATAAATAAAATATTAAAAAAAAAACTTAAAAGGGAAAGAATTAGGAGAGATGATCAGAATGTTGCTAAAGCCACACCCTAGAAGCCACACCCAAAACACTTATGCTACTGTGGTAAAGCAAAGAGTCAGTTCTTCCTTTCTTCACATGGCTGAAAATGTGACTAAATTTCCCAGCTTCCTTTGTGGGAAAGGGCAATGAGGCAGGAGTATGTTTTCCCCTTGGCTAGAAGATGGATGTGATGCTGGAGGCTCACAGTCAAGCCAGGATACTGAGACCTCTCACATGAAAAAATAAACTTTCTTCCTTAAGTTTCTTGTGAGAACAGCCCCAACTGTATCCTGATACCACCTTTCTTGAAAATTACATCAAATGTCATGTTTTACTACCCCATGTCAAAATTCCTAGGTTCTAAATATTTCCTCAAGGAGGTAAAACTCTGGTTGAAAGCATTAAGTCACTTAACTAAGAAATCAGTAAAGCAGTACCAAGATTATACTATTGCTTTTCTTGGACACCATCATTTTTATCTGATGTTCAAAAAATTGCTGGCTCTGCTCACATGAAAGCAGCACAATATGGTAAAACATCGACATATCTAAAAACAGTTCAGTCTTTTTCTTTTCCTTTTCTTCTTTTTGGTAAGCATGATTATGAACATGAAGACAGGGAAAAAATCTGTTACAAAGAATCACCAAGACAGCTAGGAGTTAAACACTTTTAGATTTTTCCCCTTTAAAGGTACTAAGTTGCAACAGTAACAAAATAGAAGAATTTCTTTCTTGGGGCGTCTGGGTTACTCAGTTGGTTAAGTATCTGACTCTTCCTTTCAGCTCAGGTCATGATCCCAGGGTGGTGAGATGAGCCCCAGGTCAGGCTCTGCCCTACTTAAGATTCTCTCTCTCCCTTTCTTTCCCTTTGCACATGCCCTTCCCCCCCCATCCCAGCTCAACTCATGCGCACACACTTGCGCACACACTCTCGTGTAAAAAAAAAAATTCTTTCTTAGATGGATATATATTTTTTTCCTGACTCCTGGCTTACCTCCATGATTATTACATGGGGATACAGACAGGGATGGCACAAGGGGCAAAAAGATCTATCCTGGCTGAACACAGTCAATGCCTCCCTTCTTCCCAAAAAGCAAAGCTATACAGGTTGTTATGCTCTGAACTAGTATTAAAGTGCCTGCCCTCCAAAAGACATTTTATCGTTGGTAAATATCACTAGTTTTCCTCTGTGCTCTCAGATTTGTCAGAATCTGCTGTTGTGTCCTGGTTGGTTAGTTATTTCTATTTATTTACTTAAAATTTGCCTTTTAAAATTCAATCAAGACTACCAACCACTATGGTTCCATTTATTTTTTCCATACCTCTCAGAGACAGAGAACATGGTGCAACCAGAAATGAGCCTTGCTGTGTACCAGTAATGTGCCCTTGCTAGGGTGCTTTTAAAACTACCATTTTCCAAATCCCACCACTAACCAATGAAATAAGAATCAAAATGATTTCAAAAGCTCCCCAGGAGAATATTCAGTATAGGCTCTGAAGATCAGAAAATGTAGATTCAAATCCCAGTTTTGTCTTTTATAATACCTATGACTTTGGGTAAGTTACTTAACCTTCCTAAACTTCACTTACTCATAATGTCCACTATGTGCTAAGTGCAGTGCCAGGTGCTGAATAAGGGTGATTAAGACAGTCCCTGTCCTCCTGTCCTCTAGGAGCTTATTAAGATACAGGAACTAAAGGAAGCCACAAACAACCAAATAAATTTAATCCTAACAGGGCACAGGAAGGAAATTCAGTCTAAATTCCAAGGATCAGCAAAATCTCAAAGATGATGGTAAGGCTAAATCCTGCAGGACAAGTAACAGTAGCCAGACAAGGTTACTAAAGGAAGACAGTTTTATTTTTTTTAAGATTTTATTTTTTTAAGTAATCTCTACACCCAACATGGAGCTCAAACTCACAACCCCAAGATCAAGAGTCACATGCTCCACCAACCAAGCCAACCAGAGGCAGCCCAGGAAGACTGTTTTTAATGGCAGAGGATATATGTAGACACAAGAGGCCTGGATAAAAGATAATTCTGCTTATTCAGGAGATACAAATAGTTCAGTAGGACTAGAACATAAAGTAAGAATGAAGGAAGGACAAGAGATGAGGATCAGATCAATAGGGACTCCAGCTTTTACACTGGCAAAACAGGAATATTATCTATTCTCTTTAGCTACCTCAGAGATCACATTTTTTATATATATATTTGCAATGAGCACTGCCTATATATATGTGTGTGTGTGTGTGTGTGTATACATATAAGCTTCAGCACATATACTAAAATAGGAATGATACAGGATTAGCATGGCCCCTGTGCAAAGATGACATGCAAATTCGTGAAGTGTGATATATATATATATATATATATATATATATATATATATATAGCAGCCTCTTGAACAGAAGTACTCAAGTGATAAATCCCTTCTTCAGCTTCAACACTCACAGAAAAAAAAGCTTGCCTTTTTATAACATCACTAGCCAGCCGGTCAACACCACGTTTTCTTCAGGTCATCTCATCAGAGCGCAGAATTTTATAGCAAGCTCTTTGCAGCTGTTCATCTCTCCTGACTGCATCTTACCCACTGCTGATTATTGAAGAGTCAACTCATGTCTCAAGAGTACCAACTTTGGGATTTCCTTCAAAAGGTGCAGATACCTTAGGGTGCCCCCAAACTAGGCTGTCAACAACAAAGGTTTTAATGTCCTGTTTTAAATTAAATGAACCGCAGCTGTGAAGCAATTCTAAACCAAGAGCAGACTACTTCAACTCTAACCCTGGCTCTGACACTAGTTAACTTACTTTGGGTGAGAGACAACCTTCTGTGCCTTGGTTCTGCAAAGTACTAAAGTGAACAATACAGAACAGTCCCTAATAACCCAACATAGCAGGACGACTTTTTAACTGTCACTGCCTCCCTTTCCCCATGGATTAGGTAAGAACAGAAACCTCAAAGCCAGGAACATGCCCTTCCTTCATGGAGATTCTGCAAGTCAGCTGTAACTAGCAGCAAAGATGTGTATCAGACATCTCGCAGCCAGCTGATAAATCTACATAGATTTGCAGATGTTAAAAAAAAAAAAAGATTTACAGATGTTCTTTGGCACTAAAATACCTTGATTCTTTAAAATATTATTTCGAAAAAATAATAAAAAGAAAATAAAATATTATTTGGGCTGTTTAATACATTCTTATAAATCCTGGGACCAAGTCTAAGAATTTGTTTCCAATCTGGATATTAATAACTTCCAACTTAAAGAGGACTAAAAATAAAAAATAATAATAATAAAATAAATAAAATGAGAGGCCTTGCCCAGAGTAAAGTCACCAATACAGGTTTAGAACAGAAAACACTGTTCAGATACAATTTTTACTGACCATCTTTCTTGTCAAAATGTTTATCAAATTTCGGGGACCTGGGTGGCTCAGTCAGTTAAGAGTCCACCCTCCTGGTTTCAGCTCAGATTGTGATCTCAGGGTCCTGGGATCAAACCCTGCATCGGGCTTTGGGCTCAGCATGCAGTCTGCTTGGGATTCTCTTCTCCCTCTGCCCTCCGCATCCCCCCTGCACCGTGCACACGCTCTCTCTGAAATATATAAAATCTTTTTAAGAAATTGTTTATTGGGGCGTCTGGATGGCTCAAGTTGGTTAAGCAACTGCCTTCAGCTCTGGCCATGATTTCAGGGTCCTGATATTGAGCCCTGTGTCAGGTTTCCTGCTCGGTGGGGAGTCTGCTTCTCCCTCTTCTTTCTCCCTCTGCCATTCCCCCTCCCCCTGCTTATGTTCTCTCTCAAATCAATAAAATCTTTAAAAAGAAAGTTTATCAAACTTTAGTATTCAGTTTTATGTTTTAATAAGCCTCAGTTTTAAAAGGCTACTTCCATAACTATGTGAGGAGTTGAATATTAGCTAATCTTATTTTGGTAATCATTTCACAGCATATATCACTACGCTAAATACACCTTAAGACATCATATATAGGGGCACCTGAGTGGCTCAATCAGTTGAGTTTCTGCCTTCAGCTGGGGTCATGATCCCAGAGTCCTGAGATAGAGTACTACATGGGGCTCCCTGCTCTGTGGGAAGCCTGCCTCTCCGTCTCCCTGCCCCACTCTATCACGAATATAGAACCAAAATCTCAAAAACAAACAAACAAGCAAACAAAAAAACCATTATGTATCAATCACGTCTCAATAAAACTGGAAAAACTACTACTATAATCACAGGAAATATGCTACCTTAAAATATAAATTCTATTAATTATTTTTGGGCTTAGTATGAAATTTACCACCTTCCAAATGGCATCAGAACTTTCTACATGGAGTTATACAAAATACAAATTTAAAACAATAAAGCTACTGGGTTAAACACTAAGCAAGATGGCTTCTTTTATACTATATCTGCCTCGATGAAAGTATACTTCCATTCCAGATCTAACAATTTTAGTAACTGCACAATAACACAGAAAATGTAGTTGATCACTGCCTTTAAAATTAGAACATATCTGCATTTCGAAAGAAGTAACTTTTAAAAGCTTAGTATATACCAGTGAATACTAAAGAGACTTATGTCCATTATCTCATTTAGTCCTATGAGGTAGGTGCTACTGCTAGCATATCTATTTTACAGAGGGAATGCTGTGGGAGCTTAGATTGTGTACTTTACTCTGCTTATAAATGATAAATCTATTCATTGAACTCAGCTCAAAAAAGATCCTTAACTTCACTCCTGTTTGAAATAACTGTCTCTAGTTACAACAGATCTTAACTAATTTACAATCCCCAGAAAATTAAGGTTACATTACAGTATAAACTTCATAAACAGTGACTGAATTTCCCCTTTAAACTTCTCTTTAATACGCCAAAATAATTCTAGACCCTGAGCTCTCCTAAACCTTTCATCATATATGGTGCTCTCTGCGGTACCTACCCATTAGAACAATTTTTAAAAACATTAACCCTGTACCAATTATTTTCAAAAGCCCAGAGATACTAATCAAGTGATCCTAATAGTCTTAAACACTATCTTCAAACCAAAAGATAAATGGAGATTGGGAAACTTGCATTCTAAAGTGCCACTATCTAGATAAAATTACTCTGTGAATTAGAGTAATTTCAATCAGATCCTATAAAATTGAACATTTTTCTCAAGACCAGAATTAGATAGTAACTGTAAGATAGTTTAAGGGCCTAAACTCCACATGGCAATTCAATAGCAAAAGGCAGGCAATAGGAGGGAGAGCAGCAACAGCTTAGAAAAGTAGTAATAAGTAAAATTACAAAATGACTTACCTATTCATCTTGCTGGCCTATTTTACTTAACACAAGATTGTAATTACTCTCAAAAATCATATGCTGCTTAAATAAGATATATTTTCTTACTATACGGTGTCCTGGATTTTAAATTAACACATTACATATTAAGAAAAACCCCAATGGCATTTCATATGCATTAGAAACTCAATTACACTTTTTTAGAATACCTGCATTTATGACTATAAACATCATTAATACAGAAAAAACTGGTTTATATAATACAACCAATGTGGGTGCATTCTTTGCTAATTCCATAACTTACCACTTTTAAAAGGAATTATTCTTAAAAATGTAAAGCACACCATAAGCACTATTTTTAAAGTGTCCCATCAGCTATTCAGTAATAAAGTATCAGATGTATTTTTTAAATAATTAAATCACACTAGAGTGCATTTAATGCAATGCACTCAGCAAGATAAACACAAAGTTATTAAATGGAGGAAGTGTAGGCAGGAGATTTTGCTTCAGTTGTATGACAGGAAGTACTAGCTATGGAAGTTTAGAAACAGGAATACCAAGTTCTGTTTTAGCACAAGAAATAAAAGAAAACATGGTGGTGAATAAAAGGAAGTTCTTTTTAGTGAATTTTTTAGTGAACATATATTTTAAAATCATTCCAAAAGTAAAAAAAAAGGGGGGGGCTTACTTTTTCACTAAGCTTATGTGGTAAAGTACTTCCTTAAGTATACTGGAGCCTGGATTTTGCAATTTCACTATTACAGCATTGCTTACGGCTCACATTTTACACATCCATAGGGACACCAGGGTGACGTGTAGCATTAAACTTTAGTTTCACATCTTGAAGTCTGATTATTAAATTTTTTTTTTTAGAGCTACATGACAAATTTTTTAAATGCACAGATTTCACGATAGGGATATACTTAACACGAATGCACAGTTAAAAATGGTTAAGATGCTAAATCATAGGTTGTTTTTTAACCACACGCACAGAAAGTGCACAAGGCAATGAGCAATAGTACTCGGCTTAAATATTAATAATCACCTGTTATGTAAATCTCAGTTACTGCAAAGTGAAGCTTATTATACTTAATTTTTGGTAGTAAAACAATTTGTTGTTTTTTGACAGCTGGGTTCGTTTCCTATGATTTTTTAAAGATACCTCCCTAGGTGAGAGAAAGTTCTTCAATCCCGAACTACAGTGAAAGTGAAGCTCTAGCCTCAATTAGCATCTTCCAAATCATCTGAATTACTTATTGCCATCAAATACTAGTTATGAAATCATTAAGTGTGCTTCTCCTTCAGCTGATTTCCTCCATTCAGTCAAGTGAACACCTCGAAATTAAGAGAGCAAGATCCCTAAGTGAATAATAGGCTTTCTTGCAGCAGCTGCAGTTCTGCACGGGGAGGGAGGCCACGACTCGCCACGCCTCGGCCCTCCAGCACCCACGGTGGCCCAGAAGGCTGAGGTCACCCTGCGGTCCTCCGCAGGTTCGGCCCCACCGAATCCGTCAGCCTTTTGTCAACACCCATTAGTTTTTCTGTTTTGTTTTGTTTTTTTTTTTTTTTTGCTCCGAAAAGCGTACAAAGCTGGGGTAGTTTGGCAGCTCGGGGAAGGGGGGCCTGCAGCGACCCACCAGCTCGGCTCTGGCCACCCCTGGGGGGAAAGTCTCCAGGGTTAAGAAAACTGGGAAAACTCGGTGCAAACCACCTTCCCCCCCCTCCCTGCCCCCCCACCCCCGTCTCAGGCACATCTAGCTCCCCCTCCCGAGGGAGCACCGTGTTCTCGAAAGATCTGCACCTTTCCAACTCAAATGTCATTCCCAGATCAGCTGCTCGGGGGGCAAGCGGCGCTCAACCCACGCCCTCTTCTTCGAGCACCTTCTCCAAGTAGCAGCGCTGAGCTGAGCTCGCTCCGTGCAGCCCCCGTCCAAGCCCTACACGGCGGGGGGGGGGGGGCTGACCCGAGACCCCGCCCGCCCGCGGACGAGGCTGTGCCCGACAGAGTCGGCCCGGGGCTCCCGGCCCAGGTGGGGTGGAGGGGGAGGGGGAGGAGAGGGGGGGGGAGGGGGAGGGGAGGG